AAAGGATTTTTTAAAGAAACAAACTTTTCTAACTAAAATCAATAATTTGATTATTAATTGATAATCTGGAGGATTATTTCTCTTACCATTCAAATATACTTTCTGATTGATAGTACTTCTTAACATCAAGAAGCTTTCAGCATAAAGAATTGAAATCAAAAGTTTAATTTAATTGTAACTGATTAATCAAATGAAATGAATGTTAAGGACAGTTAGTTAATGAAATAATATAAAGCTTCATATACTTTTTGCACCAAATGAAATGAATGATCTAATTATCTGCTATTTTGACTTTCATTATCTGTTAAAAGAAGCTGAAGTAAATAAATTGATGATTATCTGCAACTTATTAGACTTAATCATAAATTTATTCAATAGGAAAATATTCTTCTTGATTTCATGAAAATTTAATTTTTTTCTGTAATATCTCCAGATAGATTAAAAACAAACTTTTTCAAATCTTTATGAAGTTGTTTTGTTTGAAACAATTTTTTAATCCTTAATTGAGTATAAATATAAAAAAAGTTTACATCAAAGAAAATAAAAAAAATCTTAATTAAACAAGTTCAAAATTTTGAGTGTAGTATTGCTATTTGAAGCTTAATGTTACCTTTGTACAAGCCTTTGTACTTAAGGTGTTCATTGGAAAAATAGCAAAAGTTCCAACCGTCTACATAATTCATAACAAGGAGAAAAGCAAAGAAATCCCTCTCATAAAACAGAAAGTTATATTAATTATCTTCATCAAATATTAACCAAAGCAAGTGTCTTATTTTTTATCGAGTTTTAAAGAAGTTAACGCTCAGGATGAAAAGTGTTCAAAGAAATTTCCAAACTTTTCAAAGTCAGGTACAGATTTTTTCAACCAGAAACAAAAGATTTTTAAATTCTTTGAGCATTAAATAAATATTTTTATAAGTATATTTAGGTCTATTCAGTGCCACGAGAAAAATCTTTAAACGGTAAAATTTTACGATAGCGATAAATTTTTCCCGAATTGCGGCTAAGTGTTCAATTCAAATAACACAGCAAAAATTTATTAAAGCTATGATGTCTATTTAACGGAAATCTAAGTATCTATTAAATATATTATTGCGTATTTCAACCTACATCTACATACCCGTGAGAATATTTAATTTTTTCAATAGGCTTCTGCTGTTGAACTTCTTCAGTTAGCGTTTCACCAATTTGCATAATTTTTTTTAAAGCGTAGTAGAAAAGATTTTATTTTTGCAAATCGCTGTTCACATGCACCCCTGAAATCTGAAAAAGAAACTTAGTGTGTACCTGCATAAATTTGAAATGTGACTTTAAAATAATTAAAAAGAAATATAATGTTTAAAACCATGGGGTCCAACACTTTTTATTTAAATCGATATCAAGTTTTCCATAATTTCACATCAATATTGAATTAATTTATTTACTCAAAGAAACAATCCGTACTTTATCCATTTTATTCAATGACATATTTTAAGGGCTCATTATAAAATATATCAATGAATATTTCTCAATCTAACAAAGTCTTAATAAGAGATTACTTCCAACTTTTTCAATTAAATTAAATCAGTCTTGAAACCAAAATCATAAGTATTAATTGAAATTTTATTGATCTTTCGCAAATGTTTCTTCTTAATCGATCTTTTTTAATGGCACATCATTAGGTTGTCTTTATTCATGAGCTAAGTAAATAAAAGATAATTTAGAATTTTAAATAATATTCCTTTACTTTTCCTTCTCACCATTGGTGTTCATTAAACTTTATTAATTTTTGTTCTCTCAGATGTTAACATAATTAAATCCAAATTTGAAAAGTCTAATCACAAACTAGATTAAGTATGTGATCTAATGCTATTAATTTCATTTTATTTAGAGAAAAAAGAAAATATATGATAAATATAACAATCAAGATTAATATTTATGTGTTTAACTCATGTACAGTTGTTCTCTGTAATTAGCCTAAAAATCTTTGGTTTAATCGATTATACTTTATATGCTTCACAACTCATTCATTTTTTATAAGAATAAAAACTTAAAATTT